CAAAACCACACCCCCCGCCCCCCCACCGCATCCTGCAAAGGGTTCGGGAGCCCCAAGAAGAGCCAGGACACGGGCAGGCAGAGAGTGCGGAGGGAGGCCAGGCTTTCAGCCGTCTGACACCGCTGTCATTTCATTTATTTGTTCTTTACTCTAATGGATCCATTTGCACTAGAAGCGACACACCATAATATCAAGCAATTTTCTTCATAGCTGAGGATGCGTTTGACTGTACCTGTTATGAGAGGCTCAAAAAGCAAGGGAGCGAGGAAGGCTGATGCTGCAGGCTCCCCTAGACACCAGGGTTACCAGCCATACCACTCTTCAAATGGAAAGCCTCACACTGCTCCTTACTCATAACCACAGATAATCCTCCCTTCCACTAAAATAAATCTAAAGTTTAAAAAGCTCTTTGGAAGCTGTTGAAAATATCTTTACCGACTAAGCCATTCTTGTGTTTTCAGCTGTAAAAATCCAACAGCTTCCAATTTATTTATTTTTTTAATAACATTCTTAGACAGCAGGATGGTTCATACAATTTTGAAATGCTTAGAAGATTGGCAGCTCTGCAAATTAAACCCCTGGGCTGAAACAGAAGGTCACACCTGAACTGTTTGCAAAGTGTTGCCAGTGAAAAGAACAAAAGCAGAAGCATGGGGGGGGGAAGAAAAAAAGAGCTCAGACAGCCTAAAGCTGCAAAGGGGCGGGGGGGGGGAAGGAAGAAAAAAGAGCTCAGACAGCCTAAAGCTGCATTCAGCACTGGCAGAGCCACCCAGGGTCTCGGAGAAAACACGGTTTCATTAAATCTGTGATAGAAACCAATCTGTAACCGGCTTCTGTCACGGCAGAGCTGAAGGAAGAGCAGAAGCCCCCCAGCCCAGGAACGCCTACTTACCAGTGCCGGCATGAGCAGGTCGGCGAAGTACACGAAAGCTGCTCCCAGGGCAAAGCCCACGGCCACCGGGAAGAAAGCGAAGGCTCCGAAGCTGCCAGACTCCTCGGCCATGTCGATAGCCGGGGCCAGGAGGGACCAGTAGGAAGCGGCCAGCATGACCTGGGAGACAGAAGGGGAGCGGTGAGAACCATGTAGGCACCGATGCCGCGAGGATCTGACACCGGCTGCCGCACGGCAGCACTGCCAGCACCTCCGCCGGCAGCCCCCCCCC